ACACTCCTGATATTGGTTATTTACTTTCAATTATCTGTGCCATGATAGAAAAAAGACCTGTCTAAATAGGTTAAAGTCATCCAGTGCAGTTTTAAAGGTTTGGAAACCCAATTTTTCAAAGTCAATATTCTAGTCATTTATCTACACACTGTGTTAAAACCACACCATCCCAATGTATATTGACCCTCATGGAGCAAAAATTCCCAAATTCTGACGGAAAATGGTTAATGGAAGGGCCCTGGGCTTATTTTTAGGGTACCGCCCAGAAAATAAAAGACTCATCTTGGGACTTGTTTCTGCCGTTTTAAAAGCCCAAAGTATGACATGCTGACTCAAACGTGGTAATGTGAAGCAGTATGTGTCAATATCACAAAGATTGCCTTATTCAGAATATTTCCAGTTTTGCTGCCCTGAAACTGCATTGGATGCCTTTAATATTGTGCCCACAATATGACGAGAGGGTGGTCTCGGTATCAAAGCAGATGTTGTGAGGTGTTATTGTAACGTTTTGTAACATGCCCCTGCTGGTACACTTACCCGCCCCCACCCACCATTAGAAGCCACACAGGCGAAACCGGTCGTGTGACAGGCTGAATAAAAGTTTTAAACGGGAACTATGTGGCTCCAGGTGTCTTATATACTGAGGGACGACTGCGTGTGCGAGATGTCGGTTAGCTTGAGGAATGAATCCCCTCTACTATGTAATAGATAAGTTCCCAAGCTTTAGACATTTAGACTGTAAATAGATGTATCATTAGCTCAATATGTTCGTACATCTTTAACTGCGTCAAGAAGCGAGAAGAAGTTGAACCTGTAAATAGTAGATCACATCAGTATGTTTAGTATGTAAGTGTCATTGCTGTATTCTTTTTCCCTGTTTATTCGTGACCTGTACTTAGCTTGTTAGAGCACAAATGTACAATAAAGGTCGACCTTTGATTCATTTATATACGCCCCCCACCCACCATGTCACCCAAAACGATCCGTCTAAAAACGATCTACTTAGAGACAGAGACGATCTGAATAAATGACTGTCTTGTCTACCTACAGACCATTAATACTTGACACGGAACAGGTAAACGTTACGTGTGACGTAGTGTAAATATACAGCAATCTGTCACTGTTGGACGTTGTGTACTCCCTGTGTTGTTGGTCAATGTCAATGTCAGCGATGGAATTTGAAATGTCCTACCAATGTCAATGAAAAAAGGTAAAGGAGATCAAATATTCAATCAAACGATTGTATGGTTAAGTCACAGATTGAAAGTTATCGACCGTTTTCTGCACTAACAATACACAGTTACAATAGGTGAAACTGGAAGTGTTGGGACCACTAAGCTATAAGCATACATGTAGGCATGGAAGCGCTTTTGAGTACCCAAAACATAACGCAAGTTTGGACCCCAGCTTTCAGCAAGTCTACGCCCCAAACATGTTTCCATTTGTTAAAAGCTAGTGAACGAATGAGCGGAGACCAATGTTTTGCTTAGACTTCAGGGGTTCAAACCCAAGAGTAAACAGGACACAGTGCTCTTGAAAATCACAAAGACCACTTGAGCTAAACTTTTAAGTACGTGTTGATGTGCAGACCCTGTGTCGGCACACATAGGCACCCCTCAAATGCGTTATAATGAAAGAGTTTTGCTTCACAGTGCCAGTGCAAAGAAAACAACAAAGAAAATATAGCATTCTATTTAGGAACATCTTTTACAAAAGAGAGGACGTTATTCAAGCCTCCGGACTGTAGGAATGTGAAACAGATCATTCTAGTTCCTCATTGTCGCTGACCTCATCTCCAAGTAGACGTGGGGTGTAAGATCGTGGCATTTTAAGACTGTCGAGTTCTCTGTCAGAAAATGTTAAGGTCCCCCCTCCCCAAGCATCTGCTTAGAAACATGTCACAACTCTCACATGAAGTAGGGAATTGTTCCTACCTACACATATACATCAGAACAACAGCAGAAAAATAAACATGATATCATATTCTTCTTACCTTCACTCATAGTCAGTAGTAGTTAGTCCGCCTGCCTCTAGCCTCACAGACACGAGAGCTAACATATGTGAGATATCGTTAAAACCTGCCCGTCTATCTGCACGCTGTGTTTGTTGTGTTCTCCCCAGTCCAAAGTCTTGCTTACAAAAGTTGCTCACCCGTTTCCGGTAAATATGACCTCCAATCCGATGACCCGGAAGTAATAGTCACGGCGTGATGACGTGTGATGATAGATTTTTATGGTTACTTCCCACATGATATTTGGTATGTCTTTTAAACTTTAATCGTGTTATAAGTCACGCGAGTTCTGCTTTATCTTCCCCATATTAGGCCACACCGACTTAATTTTATGGATGACATCCTCTGAAGACCCCCAAACTAGTGCGCGCGGGCGAATAAAAAAATTCGGGCCAAAAATGAAAATGATACTAAACCACAGCAATACAAAGCTGGTATTGTGGATTTGTGACAGTATAAATAGCGACGTATACGACAAGGCGGCACATGCTGACTTTTTGCGGAATTTATGAATCGGCACTGTATGCATGTATGTATGTACCGATTTCTTGACTCGTGGAACTTCGGTAGCCTGGGTGCCATCCTCCAGAGTTACCACAGGCTCCGTATAATTTGTCTCTAACTACCATGGACTACCCAGGCCAGAGGCTCGGAGGACCTGATTTTTTTTTGAGAACAGGCGAAAATCAATGCTCGCGTGGATGTCATCCATAAAATTAAGACGGTGTGGCCTAAGTGGGAGGGGCTGTACTCTGACGATTATGTCACCCAGGCTCAGAGGCAAATTAAATTATTGGGATAGATATTTAAATCAGGTAGTTACTTCTTAGACCGTGTTTATGTGAAGTCACCAAAGGCGTTTTACATGTGGTTTATCCCGAAGCCGATTTCAAGTGGCTCCATCTGAACGCTCCAAATCACATTGAAAGCGCCTCGATCCCAAACCACTTCTAGAGGTGGTTTTGAATCGGTTTTCCCGCATCACGATTTGCGTCTGAACGCAATGTGATTTCAATGTAACTTCGCCTGGTCATGGATTACGGGGTGATATTTCTTTATTTATATGCAATACCAACTTTTACGTGGCAGAAACTTAAAGAGCAGTAATGGTCAAATAATGTGTCCGTTCTAGGACGAGCTTCACCGCCTCTGGCGGGACCACGTCGGCATTCGGCCGAGATACGCTGGGAGGGGGGCACCAGCAAGCAGGTCGTTGACACGCTACCTAGTGTGTTTTCATCAAACAACAATGAATGTAGTTTCTGACAATCGTGATCAAGCACGTTTTAAAAGGAATGTATGGCACGTGGACTAGATGTGAGGAATGTGAGTTACCCGAATCGCGGTTTGTATGACTTCACATAAACACGGCCTAATAGGAAATGCTTTGAATCCCATAGTATAGAATGCACTCAGCCTAATCTGCAGTACCACACTCGATCGCATGGTCTATAGTCATCATCACACTTTTAATAGTGTCAATGTTTGGACGTGCATAGAAAGTTACAGGAAAAAAGACACAATGACACTTGTGAATACATTTTATAACATCCTTGTAGGCAAGCACAAGACGATGGAAATTGCAATAATACAAGAAGATTGAACGTCAATATTTCAAATGTTTTGTAGTTTAGAGAATTTCTTTATAAAGTAAAGTAAAGAACACGTTCGAAATGTTTATAAAATATAATACATCCATTGCAAATAGTAATAAAAGATTGAAATTCAATTTTAAAATGGCAACAAACACCCGTGCGGTGTCTTGAAATGGATTCTGTACAAAAACAAGTCAAATCACTAAGTCGACAGCTATGCAGATCCGGTCGTTAGCAAAATAGTATAGTGCGGAAGCTGTATCTTTTGGACTCTTCAGGTATTTCCTGAAGAAAGGGAAAAGAAATTGTGATCAGCTGGCTTTAAACAAAGAAAAACAATGAGCAGATAGATAACAGGTTAACTTACTTGATAGTTTAGGTTCGAGGTATAAGATTGTTTTGTAAAAGGAAGTCATGTCTGTTTTCATAAAATGGGGCGCAAGATATACATACCTTCTACCCTGAAGCTTGGGACGACAGATGGTTTCCGTTTCACACAGGCAGTCACTTCCTATTATCCTCCTGTAGATGTCCAGAAAACATACAATTTGGTAATGACTATTTGTATTGACTTTGAACGGAAGCAATTTGACCAAATTCTACAAAATGACTGCTGTCATACCTTCTAAACTGTGCCACTGTGACATTGCTGTTCTTCCACCATATGAGACCAAGCAGGCATCCGTTCATCTTGGGAGACCTACCTGGAGAACAATCTGAGGGAAAGAGCTGAAACAAAGACCTACGCGTGGGTTACTTGACTTCAAAGGATACAGGAGGTCACTCTTTCTACCTCCACAGCACTGTATGTCCAGACACATTGTCCTTGACGGCTGTACCTGTAGAAAAGTCTGAAAGAACACTGGACAGACAAGGGGTATGGCATGTCGTGTTTCTGCGTGAAGGGTGAACATGGCGCAAGGTGCACGATACAGATAGCTGTCGCCAACAGAAAGAGGGTGCAAATCGCGCGGTTTCTTTTTCCCTACGCCTATGCCTATGTCAAAAAGGCAACTGTACAAGACCAAGCGTCCGCGTCGCGCTTACACTGGAAGACTAAGGATCGCATGATCCTAAAAGTCACAGATTCAGACCGGGTTTGTGTACTACCTGTGGATGGAGGTTCGGATGTCAGGACGCTCGTGCGAGCCGTGGAGACTGTAGTCCTCTCCATGGTCGGCTGTGTTGTTCTCTCCGTGGTCCCTAGAGCCGTTGTCGTCTCCAGGACGGGCCTCTCTGTAGTGAAGTGCGTTGTGAAGGCCCGAGTTGTGAAGCCCTGAGTTGTGGAGAGCTGAGTTGTAGGGACCGTAGTAAAGTACGTTGTAGGAAAGCTCGTTGTAGTCTGGTCTGTAGTCACTTGAGTAGATTGTCGAGTTGTTGGCGCTGTGGTTCCCTCAGTAGTGCCGATAGATGTCGTCTCTTGTGTCGTCCCTCGTGTTGTCTCTCGTGTCGTCTGTAGTGTCGTCTCTTGTGTCGTCCCTCGTGTTGTCTCTCGTGTCGTCTGTAGTGTCGTCTCTTGTGTCGTCCCTCGTGTTGTCTCTTGTGTCGTCTGTAGTGTCGTCTCTTGTGTCGTCTCTGCAGTTGTTGGCACTGTAGTTTGTTCGGTAGTCTCAACAGTTGATGGCGCTGTTGTTCCCTCAGTAGAGTGGATTGCTGTCGTCTCTAGTGTCGTCTCCTCAGTTGTTGGCATTGTAGTTTGTTCCGTAGTGAACTGAGTTGTTGGAAACGTTGTAGCATGGGTCGTTGGTACAGACGTTGGGAAGAGCGTTGTTTGGATCGTAGTTAAGTACGTTGTAGGAAAACTTGTTTGAGCCGTTGTAGGTTGTGTTGTTCGCTCCGTGGTCTCTGCGGTTGTTGGCCGCGTAGTTTGTTCAGTAGTCGGCTGAGTCGATTGACGAGTTGTTTGTTCTGTGGTCTCTGCCGTGGTTCTCTCGGTGGTCGGATGTGTTGTCTTCAGCGTAGTCTCTACAGATGAGGTCGACTGGAATGTGGTGTCCTCCGTTGTAAGCTGCGTTGTTGATAGACCCGTTGTGACCCTTGTCGTTGATACAATCGTTGTCGGGAGCGTCGTTTGTTCTGTCGTCTGTTCAGTAGTCAGATGTGTAGTTTGTTCAGTAGTCAGCAGAGTCGATTGCAGAGTTGTTCGTTCTGTCGTGTCTTCAGTAGTTCTCTCAGTGGTCAACTGTGTGGTCTTCTCCGTACTTATCTGTGTTGTTGCTGATTCCGTTGTAAAATGAGTTGTTGGTAGAACCGTTGTGAACTTTGTTGTCGGCACCTCAGTTGTTTGGGATGTTGTTTGTTCCGTCGTCTCTACAGTAGTCGGACGTGTAGTTTGTTCAGTAGTCGGTAGAGTCGATTGCCGAGTTGTTTCTTCAGTAGTTCTCTCAGTGGTCGGCTGTGTGGTCTTCTCCGTAGTTAACTGTGTTGTTGCTGATTCTGTTGTAACATGAGTCGTTGGTTGAACCGTTGTGAACTTTTCTGTAGTCTGCTGTGTTGTTGGTATTGTTGTCTTCTCTGTAGTCTGCTGAGTTGTTGGTATCGTTGTCTTTTCCGTTGTTAATTTCGTTGTCTTTTTCGTGGTCCGTTGTGTTGTCGGGATTGTTGTCTTCTGTGTGGTCTGCTGTGTTGTAGGTATTGTTGTCTTCTCTGTGGTCTGCTGCGTTGTTGGTATTGTTGTCTCGTCCGTGGTTATCTGTGTTGTTGGTGAAGACGTGGTTGGTATTGTTGTCTTCTCCGTGGTCTGTCGTGTTGTTTGTATTGTTGTCTTCTCCGTAGTCTGCTGTGTTGTTGGTGCCGTTGTCATTTCCGTGGTCTGCTGAGTTGTTGGTGCCGTTGTCATTTCCGTGGTCTGCTGAGTTGTTGGTGCCGTTGTCATTTCCGTGGTCTGCTGAGTTGTTGGTGCCGTTGTCATTTCCGTGGTCTGCTGTGTTGTTGGTGCCGTTGTCATTCCGGTGGTCTGCTGAGTTGTTGGCATTGTTGTCTTCTCCGTAGTCTCCTGTGTTGTTGGTATTGTTGTCTTCCTCGTTGTCTGTTGAGTTGTCGGTATGGTTGTCTTCTCTGTGGTTACCTGCGTTGTTGGTACAACCGTGGTGAAGTGGGTTGTAGGGTCATGCGTTGTTGGTATCGTTGTCTTCTCTGTGGTCTGCTGCGTTGTTGGTATTGTTGTCTTCTCTGTGGTCGGCTGAGTTGTTGGCATCGTTGTCTTCTCTGTGGTTACCTGCGTTGTTGGTACAACCGTGGTGAAGTGGGTTGTAGGGTCATGCGTTGTTGGTATCGTTGTCATCTCCGTGGTCTGCTGTGTTGTTGGTAGCGTTGTCTTCTCTGTGGTCGGCTGTGTTGTTGGTAGCGTTGTCTTCTCTGTGGTCGGCTGTGTTGTTGGTAGCGTTGTCTTCTCTGTGGTCGGCTGAGTTGTTGGCATTGTTGTCTTCTCTGTGGTTACTTGCGTTGTTGGTACAACCGTTGTGATCATTGTGGTGAACTGGGTTGTGGGTTTATGCGTTGTTGGTATCGTTGTCTCCTTTGTTGTGGTCATCGTGGTGAAGTGGGTTGTTGGGTCATGCGTTGTTGGTATCGTTGTCTTCTTCGTTGTGATCATCGTGGTGAAGTGGGTTGTGGGGCTGTGCGTCGTTGGGATAGTTGTAACTTGCGTTGTAGGATGTTTTGTTGTAGGGATCGTTGTAGCTTGTGTAGTATTTCCTGAAAGAAAAGGACAATGGGGGGTCAATAAGAATAGGTGTCTTTCTTTATGTCTTGTACACACATTGTTTGATAAATCAGAGTGAAAAAATTCTATCGTGCTTTGTAGCAAAAGAAGTATTTGTAATACCACCCCCTCCATTACATGATTGACGTAGGTGATATGGTAATGGCTTGAGATTAGACCCTAGGTGTTCTACTTGACTTGACTTTATTTATTTTTTATTGAAACAACAAAGTACAAGACATGGTACAAGACACAGAGGTGGAAACTCTAGCCGAAGCTAATTTTAATCACACCCCTGACATAGAATACAAATTACAGGTATGACAATGACGAAACAACAAATGAGCGTTCGTATATACAAGACTAACGGAGATATAAATCATTCGGCAACTGTAAATCGTTGGGTATTCAGTATAAAGGTTTGAGTAAGAATCAGAATTTTTTTGTTAACATCAAGACGTAAAAGGGGCGAACCCCTCAGTAAAAGATTAATACTGGCTTGGTCAGACAAGTTGCGCAAGTCAAAAGTAGAGCCTACTAGGCTCTGTAGGTTGCTGAGAAGGGTCACTCTATGCAAGTTGTATACAGGGCAGTGCAAAAGGAAATGTACAATGTCTTCACATTTAGACCCACAGGTACAGGCAGAACTAAGAACTAAATTACGTTGATATAAACTATGATTTAAGCTGCAGGTCCCAATGCGGAGTCGAGTAAAGCTAAGGTCCCAATTGGGAAAAGGGGCCCTGGCGGGTAGTTCCCGGGCTGTTTTTTACCACTTTCGGGCGGGACCCCGACGTGACCCCGCGGGGCACCCTGCGGCTACCGGGATATTTTTTGGCCCGTCGGGGCCCCGATAAGAATTTAATTCTGAGTTAAATTCTACCCGGGCCCCGCTAACAACAAGACGCCGTGACCTCATCGTGAGAACACCGGGAGGTACCCCTCCGGTTGCCGGCATTCCACCGGGACACATTTCTTACGTCACAGACCAGATGAACAGAATAAAGGTGTGTACTTCGTAAACCCGGGTAAAATGTGTGACCTCACAGATCAAATGATCACAACAAATACGTGAATTCTGCATTACGTATAGGTCAATACAAGACATCGTCAGAGAATCTGCTGGGTACCTGTCGGGTGCCTGCCGGATACCGACCAAAGAGGGTGACAAAATTTCTAACAAAACGCTACTGAAGGAAACTTTTAATTGTGACCACGACAGACGATGCCCGCTCGACTCCTGAACCCGGCCGGGGCCAGCCGGGGCTACATCCCCGACGGGCACCGGCGTAATTGGGACCTTAGCTTAAGGAGGGCGCAGGGGTATCGGGGCCGTGGCTAAAATGCGGATAAAGGGGCCGGGAGGACGTACTAACTTGACTTTATTGGGATCCACATTTAGCTTACAAGAAATGTAGCTATTCTTCCTGTGGCCCTTCAAGACACACATGACACATTTACAAAACATAAATACATTGGCAATTACAACATACTAACACAGCTTAAAATAAGGCTATATACATGTACAATACTTCCATTCATCCTGATCCATATAATTATACTAATTATTCCTTGATATATTGATTGTTTATTGTTTATTTTTTATTTAACCAGAGGAACAGGTTTTCAATGCACCCTGGGGGGCAATCCCCAAACACAATAAAATAATAACAATAAAATACAACATAAAGTAATCACTGAAGAAAACTTATGTACAATCGAGGGGCAAATTAGAATAAGGTAACTTAAGCACGATGAAGTTGATAATTTTTTGTTCCCTGAGATTAAATAATGAGTAGTCTATACACATGCACTTCTGTTGATAATCGGTAGGAAGCGCTGTTGCAATAGTGAATTCACATACAACCTCAAGAAAAGAACAATCAGTAATACGTGAATGGGTGATTTTCTAAAAGATTAACCACTTTCATACATAAATGTATTCGGTCTTCAACTCGTGTCTAATAGAGTATCTAATTCAAAACTAATAAAACTTAACGAAAATTTTCAGTGTTTGGTTGGTATGACCTCAATCATTCCTAATAATTAGAAACAAAATACATGATGACAAACTATCTGAAACAAAAAACAAAATCACTTCATTTGGAGTCTTCAATTTGCCACCATCCTATGACGGTCTTGAAAAATAATGAACGTTCTCCTATCTCTCAAATAATGAACGTTCCCCTATCTCTCAAACCCTTCTTTGCCCCGCCCTTCACGTCTTTTTGTTTCTGTCCTCCCTGAAACTTTCATTTGTACCCCTTATTATCTAAAAACCTTAAATCTAAGTATGTTTAACTTTCTTGATCTATACTTTCTTATGACGTTCTAGCGTCTTTTTAAAAACTGAAGATGTCTAAATCAAGAGATTGATACAGAATAGTGTACCAAAATGCACATTCCATAATTGCAATGTTCTTACTGTGTCGTCCCAACTAATTATTCAGTCTTCAAAGTTAGAGTTTGAAGAGATATAACTACAGAAAACGTAGCCTTTTAAAGAAAAAAACTTTCCTTTGAAAAGTAGTGCTCTAGAAACAACTATGGTTAAAGTAAAATAATGCATGTAATTTTGTATATTGTAATATGCATTCTATGTATGTCTAATAATTTGTATCTTTCCCCCAGGGTGTCACTTAGTAATAGTCTTTGACTAGTTGGGACACCCTGGCTTCTTTGTAAGCCAAATAAATAAATAAATAAAAAAACAACAAAATAATGCAGATGTTGTTCAACACAACAGCACAACGCAACACTCAGTAACCTCCAAGCAGATCCTAGGGTTTCAAATATAGAGTATCAAATTTGCCAGGCAGTATCCAATTGGCCAGGTAGGGGATCATGCGCGACCCAAGGTTGTTGGTGGGGGTAGCGACAAAAAAAAAACGGGCCATATATAAAAAGCTAAAGATCATCCCCCCACAACCTCTGCTTGGAGAGTAAACACTCAGTAGTTATTTCAAAAAGGGTAAGGTAATAGGATAGCTTTCAACTCAGACCTAAAGTATATTTTTCACGTGTATCCACACTACCAAAAATGTTTTTTTCTTGTTTTCCTTGTACAAAGAAATGGTATCTTGTAGCAAGAAAATTATTCTTTGAACAAGAAAGAAAAGAATCCCCGTAGCAAGAAAATGATTCTGTCCACAAAAAAAATATTTCTTGAACTGTTCTTGAAGCAAGAAAACCATTCTTTACACAAGAAAAGCTTTCTTGTAGCAGAAAAAATTACTGTAAACTTTCTTAAAATTCTGAACATTCTTAAGATTCTTGTTTGTGAACATGATAGTAGAAATATTTTCTTTTCTAAAGTTGTAAGAATCAACATACAAAAGCTTTGAAGAATGTTTCTTGAATTTTCTTGAAAATCCCCCTGGCAAGAAAATATTTCTCAACATAAGAAAATAAGAAAAAATAACATTTTTGGTAGTGCAGGTATGGTTGCTAAAAGAAACCTGCATCCTGGCTATACCTTATCGAACACCAGTCTTTGATATGCCCTGAAGAACTATGTCGCCATTGTTTTGATGTTGCTATCAGAAGAGCCTGAGGTGACACGACTTACCTTGTGCCTGAACCACCCCTCCTTGCCTAGAGGACAGTAGGGCCATGGTAAGGACCACTACAACGGCGGTTCTCCATTCGGAAGATTTCAACATTATACTAAGACGTGTGGTGTAGCTAACATCGCTGGAAGTAGTCTTCTCGGTACTGATTTAGTTTGTAGCAGTGCGTACTATTCCATAAACCATCTAGGTGTGGCGTTAATAATATACCTTTGGCACGAAAACGTCAGAGGAGCGACAAAGGTATCTCAGCTGACACAGAAAATTAGTCTGTAATTTCATGAGTGACTGACCTTGGTGAATACCCGTAATTAAACATCTTTTTAACAAGCACTTTTACCAGATTCCATGCTTCACAAATAAGACTAAAAAAAACCCTCAAGAAGTAGAATGTGTACCGTAATTCGATCGTGGGAGAATAACATACAATGCTCTATTCATGATCAAAATGGATCCCAGTTGAGAAAACTATTCAACAACCTGAGGTTGTCTCATTCCTATGTCTATTGCCTGGGGATATGGAGAGGTTTAGTGGGGGCAGTTTTATCTTACATTCATACCATTTAAAATGTCTAACCTAGACAAAAGAAAGACATTTTGGAATATCTGAAGACATATAAGAGTGGGGAAACGACCTTATGCAGCGGAGGTTGCAGATAATGCATGTGAGTAGAGTGGCACATGTCTAGCGCCTGTTGTATAATTGCCGACCTTGGTGACTTTACCTTTAATTATATGGATAAATAATTACGGCGGCTTATCTGTAATTTGGCCTACGAGTCTTGCTAAACGGGTTCGTGGCAAAGTTGAGGATTTAGACGGAATGGGTGCAGCCATTGGCGCACGTAATTGGTAGTTCTGACTCATATCGCTGACGCTCGTGTCATTGTGCTCCCAAGGGCACACCCAACATGACATTTCCCTTCTGGTAGCCGCCCAGCGGACGACAAAAGGTGTAATGACGCATGTTGATTTGAGTCATGGGAATCACGCACGGAGGCACACAAATGTCACAGCACCCCCCTCCCCCTTTACTTAGACAAATGTCATAGCGCCCCCCTCCCCCCTAGTTGTCGTGTGTGAAACCAAGTGAATGATATGTCCACTTAGAAGGGCAGTGACGTGGCAAACAGTCCGACCTTTTGTTTGAATCAATTATGGGTACTTTTTTCTTATCTTTGATGTGATAACAGTATAAGAAGGATAATGAGCCATCTTTGTAACAATACTTAAATAGAATAGCCAACAGGACCAATAAAGAGCCTGGAAACCAGAGATCTTCCAACAGTCGATCACCCTCCCCTTGAGTTGACGAGAGGCAATCACCATGTAAACATTAACTACATGTAAAGCATCAGTTAATTAATGTGCTTTGTCCTGTTGCTATATTTTGGCAAAGCCTAACGTCTAATCTGTATGGTCACAAATTATCATCTAAGGCCACAGCAATTAAATTTTATGGATGACATCCTCCGCAGACTCCAAATCTAATGCGAGCGGGCGAAAAAAACAAGGCGGACCGAAAAAAACAAGGTTCCTACATTTGAAAATTTTGACTCAATCATTGTACAAATGGTTTTGATTCAGTGGGAACATCACATGTACACAGCCAACATCACATATCACTGCACCAAAGTAAGAAACAAAACATAAAATTAGAGTCTTGTCCCTCTCCTCATAGCTATCTGCCATCCACCTTGCGGCATGGCAGCAGACATCTTTGCCCATTTTCGGCATGTTGACCACTGTCAGAAGGCAACAAAATTTCTTGTTTTTTTTTTCAAAATCAGGCGAAAATTAATGCGCGCGCTGATGTCATCCATAAAAATTACTTGCTGTGGCCTTATGATCAATCGCATTATCATGGTGAAGACGGGAATGCTGAAGAATCTATCAGAAACTGATAAGAACAAAAGTGAAATTATCTTTGTTATCTCTATTATCCTACCTTATCTTTTTTGTGATCCTCTTCTCTCTTCTAGTCTTCGACAGGGTAACCCTCAGAACACCTGTGACCTTCCGTGGTTGGGAGTCGGTAGATAGAAATCTTGCTAGCTAGAAAAAAACAACAGATTGCAACATTTTGTTAAGGTGGCATGGGTGTCTCAGACATTCGCACAGATAAAAAATAATAATTGTCCATGTGTCTGTGTATACATGACAGTGTATAGAGCAAAGATACTCTTTTCTACACAACCAAGTGTTTAATTCACAGCCGATGTTTCGGTGACCGTACGCGTCTGTCCCTTTCCTCAGGGCAATTCTGACCGGTTCACATTGCACTGCAGCAGCACAGGTGTCGCTGCTATAGATGCATTCCCAAACGTACAATATTTGCATATCTACACATATAGTACGTGGTTATAACATACTCCTGTTCGTTTGGAACCGCATTGTAGATACAGTTCCCTGTAACCACGTATATGTGTAGAGATATAAATATTGCACGTTTGGGAATGTATCTACATGTATAGCAGCGACACCTGTGCTGCAATGCAATGTGAACCAGTCAGAATTGCCCTGAGGAAGTTGACAGCCGATCACCGAAACGTCGGCTGTGAATAAAACACTTGGTTGTGTAAAAAAAAGAGTTTCTTTACTCAGTAACTTTCCAACCTGATGAAACTATTCACGGATGACAGTGTATACTCACCAAACATCCCCAAGTACAAGTACACTGCATCCACAGCCGCTGCATCTTGTTCAATCCGCTTACGAACCTGAAAGGACAAAGCTAAAAGAAGAACATGGCAATCATTTGCTAAAAGGATACACGATCTTCGGTCCTTCACACGTGTTAGGAGATGGCATCCTTTGGACCTGTAGAACAGCTACTTGAAAAGAACTACACTGACACATTTAGATGTGTGATAGTTAGAGTAAAATGTGAGTGGGGAACGTGGTGTGTGCTGATAGCAGACAAGATACGCGCTTAGAAAGAAAGATGCTATTTCCCTGCGCTGCGGCTGTGCAAGACCAAGGGCGAACATTACCCGCGCAGACTACCAACCGGCGACGCGCTGAACAGTTTCCCGTGGTCTGTCCAGAATGTGTCAGCCTGCCGAAACTTCTCTCTTCTAATCACTGGACGACAAGTACCTGTTTGTAAAACAGTAGAAGGCAGCAACGTTATTATAGTTGTGGTTGTTTTTGCTGGAGTAGTTGGTCGTATGGTTTGTCCCGTCGTCATTTGTGTGGTAGTTTGTCCCGTCGTCATTTGTGTGGTAGACTGGGTAGTTCGTTCTGTAGTCCTTTCAGTAGTATGTTTTTGTGTTGTAGGATTCTTTGTCGTTGGAATCGTGGTGACCTGCGCCGTTGCTGTACGCCTAGTTGTTTCGTCTGTTGTCATCTGCGTTGTAGGCCGTGTGGTCCGTTCTGTTGTCTTTTCAGTGGTATGTTTTTGCGTTGTAGGATTCTTTGTCGTTGGGATCGTTGTGACGTGCGTTGTAGTTGGTTGTGTGGTTTGTAAGGTGATCTCTTCCGTAGGCTTCAGGGTAGTTTGTCTTGTAGTTTGCTTTGTTTTCTCTTTTGTATTTCTTGCAGTAGTTTTTCCTTCTGTCGTCATCTGCGTTGTAGGCTGTGTTGTTAGTTGTGTAGTCCTTTCAGTTGTATGCTCTTGCGTTGTAGGATTCTTTGTCGTTGGAATCGTGGTGACTTGCGCCGTTGTAGTAAGCCTAGTTGTTTCTTCTGTAGTCATCTGCGTTGTAGGCTGTGTGGTTCGTTCTGTAGTCCTTTCAGTTGTATGTCTTGGCGTTGTAGGATTCTTTGTCGTTGGAATCGTGGTGACTTGCGAGGTTGTAGTAAGCCTAGTTGTGTCTTCTGTTGTCATCTGCGTTGTAGGCTGTGTGGTTCGTTCTGTAGTCCTTTCAGTTGTATGTTTCTGCGTTGTAGGATTCTTCGTCGTTGGAATCGTGGTGACTTGTGAGGTTGTAGTAAGCCTAGTTGTTTCTTTGGTTGTCATCTGCGTTGTAGGCTGTGTAGTCCTTTTGGAAGTATGTCTTTGCGTTGTAGGACTCTTGGTCGTTGGGATCGTTGTTTGTTTAGTGGTCTCTATCGTAGTTCCTGCAGTAGATGGCCGCGTAGTTTGTTTTGTGGCCACTTCTTTAGTCCTTGTAGTCGTTGGGATCGTTGTGACGTGCGTTGTAGTTGGTTGTGTGGTTTGTAAGGTGGTCTCTTTCGTTGGCTTCACAGTAGTTTGCCTTGAAGTCTGTTTTGTGGTCTCTTCCGTAGTTCTTGTAGTAGTTGGCTGTGTGCTTTGTAAGGTGGTCTCTTCCGTAGTCCCAACTGTAGTTGGCTTTGTAGTTTCTTCGGTGGTCGCTTCCGTCGTTCTTGCAGTA